TTTATCTTATTTACTATTACTATGTACCTTATAACATACAAAATATTTTACATTAGTTAGGAATGAAAAAATGCGTCCACAATTTTTAGCTTGAATTGCTATTTAACACTGATCTTGATCGTGAGCAGTATTTGTACAAAATATTGCTGATACTGTAAGTTGACGTAAGAATTTAGATAATTTTCATGTGTCCCTTTGATTTACGTTCCCTCAAATCTCTTATATAAATACATTGATGTGTTTTGTGCAATTAGCACAGTCTTATGTCCTTGGCCTCAGCACCAATCTTATCAGACTTAACGTAAGTAGTTCGCGTAACAAAAAATACCAATTATAAAGCCTCTAATGCATTGATTTACTTTTTTTTTACAAACAATCACCTTAACAATAATTTATAAGTTATGTTTAAATCATAAATATACATGATTTTTGTTGAGTACTATCAAAATATCTCGAAATATTAAATTTCTATTATTTCCTTGTCGGTGAGATTTCTCCTCGAGGTCCGCGCTCCCTTAGTACATAAAGAAGAATCTTGTACCATGAATGGACATGAAATATCTACATTTATTGATGATTTACAAAATAAAGCACGCGAAAATCCCTTGTCAGAGCAAAACAAACGCAAATATAATTGTTATTTTTCTACCCAAATTGCTGAGAAAATAAAGGAATTATTATATAATTTCCCAGTGTGGACAAAACTTCTTGAACAAGATTCAAATAGAAAATCCTCTTATGAAATTGGTGTAAATCACTTAACATGCTTAAGAGAATCCTTGACAAGTACAACAAGCGTACCAGATTTTATAATAGAACATCATAAAATCACAAAAATCCTTTGCTATGAAGGTAATAATTTTATAAAGAATTGTACAAACTATTATCAAAATGTGAAGCAAAATATCAATACCGATTATCTTTCATATGAAGAAAATTGGAAAGGAAGAAATACTCTTACAAAAAAAGAAGTCAGTGCAAGTTATAATTGCACATCAGAAGAAGAACCAATTACCGAAATATTAGAACATTGCGAAAAAGAATATGTTGACGTAGTTGCAGACACAATAGCCGTAGCTCAAAGTACTTCGTTAATTAATAGTTCTAGTGATTTTTCAGATTGTCAGAGATTGGTGTCAACTCAGACCAAGGCAGTGCAGTTTGCTCAAAAATCATCGACACCAGTTTTCCATAAAAATATGCAGGATTTCAAGACAATATCCAGTAGCATGAATAACAAAACTATAAATTTAAATTTGGATATTAGATATTTAGGTATTAGAGATTGTCAATCGGATGATAAAATTTCGTCAAATACTCAAATAAAAATTACATCGAAATATTGTTACGTGGGAAAACCGAAAGGTAAGGAGGTGCTTCGCGAGAATGATCAAAACCTTGGAACCTTAAAGACTTT